GGCGGGGGCGGGCGCGCGCGGCGGCGTCACGACCCGCAGCAGGGCGTCCAGGTTCTCGTAGTCCGGGGGCGGCGCCGCGACGGCGTCCTCCTCCCGTTGCTGCTGCTGCTGCTGCTCCTGTTCCTGCTGCCTCGTCGACACGGACGTGGTCGTCAGCTTGGTCGACTTCCTCCTGGGCGGCACCGGGGGCGGCGAGCGGCCCGCCCGCCTCGGGGGCAGCGTGGGGGCGGCGGCGGCGCCACCGCACGTCGGCGGCCTGTTGCGCCTCGGCTGGCGGGGGCGGAGCGCGGCCGCGTCCAGGACGGGCTGGCACGCCTGCAGCTGGCGCTGGTACTCGGGCGTGAGGGGCAGCGGGTGCGCCGCGTCCGGGACGGCCTCCTGGAAGCGCTCGGACCTCCGCGCCGAGCGCGCCGTCGCGGCCGCGCCGCGGTTGGGCAGCAAGAGCTGCTGCTGGGCGGCGGGGAGGCGGCGCGACAGCCTGGCCGCGGCGCTAGGCCCAGGGACAGCCGGGTCCTTGGCGGCGGCGGCCTTGACGGCGGCCTTGGGGCTGCCCGTCGATGAGGAGCCCATCCAGCGACTGCCGAGGAGGCGCAGCGAGGCGCGCACCGAGCGCCGCCGCCGCATGGGGTGGTCGCCGTCGGGCAGCAGCAGGCTCTTGGGGGTGTCCATGATGGCGGAGAGGCGCTGGGGTCCTCAAACGAAGCCTGCTTCCATGACGCACAACCTGACACACAGCGCAACGGCATCGTCAGGCGTGTGGGCCCTAACGAGCCGGTGCTTCGCCTATGCGTGTGCGAGCGAGAGAGAGCGAGAGAGAACCTCTGTGGGCGCACGCCTTTCCCTCCCACTGGGAATGATTCACTCGAGTTGCCACCAGCACCAGCTTTCCGGTCCCCTCAGTTCCCGGGCTTATCCTCTTCCACGATAAAATGCCGTTTTTTCCCCTTCCGTATAATTCTTATCTCCTAAACGAGGCGATGGCAATCTGATACACCTCCCCCCCACCCCCCATCCTCTCCCGCACCGCGCCAAACGAGCCCGGCTCTGAGGTGCTGCAGCGGAATCTGAAAGAGCATTAGGGAATCTGCCGCACGCCGCCTCGCCAGCATCGCCCCGGGCGAGAGGGGAGACAGTAGAAGGGGATTCCAACGAACACTTCCCACAAAGATAGCCCCGGCCACACACCCACCGCACTAAGATGAGACAATTTAATA